TTTTCATCGATCCATGTGCTTTTTCACTTGGCGAGTTTTGATTTCTTCAGCGGGTAAATTTGTTTCCTTTTAAAACCGCATTATTAAGACCAGGCTTAGAAACTGCCCTTAACTTGAGTGGGTGATAAAAGTTCTCACCTTTAGACCGGAAAACTACATAGGCGCTAGACAATTGAAAGCTGAAAATTTTTTATCGCGTTGAAAAATCCACAATTCTTTCGGTTGAATCAAAGCTAAACGCCTGATTTGCCCTTACAAAGCTTGTTTATCTTAGGAATAATAACTTCCGTCCCTCGCCAAACGATATTTAGTTACACCGACAGCCACGCCGCAGCCTTGAAAGCTGAAAATGACATTTCCTGGGTGAAAAAGAAAATATAACAAAGGGTGAACTGTAAATGAAAATCAAGGAAAGCAATGAAAGTCGTATGCAAGAGGAATTAATACGCTCTTATGTCTGCAGGGTGCGATTTTAATTAAGACTACCGCTCTTTCAGGTGTTTTTTCCCCTTCGTATATCAGTTCCTATTTTGGGCCATATATACTGTATTGACAAAATAATTAATGACTGAATAGTCACAAGATCGTAGAGTAAACACGTCATACCTGTTTTAGTATTTCATGACATTATTTTAAATAAATCAGTTTAACACAACAAAATAAAAGCCACAGAACTCTCAGGCTTTCACCTTTTCGACCTGAAGAAGAGATGAATTTGTGCAAGGGTCTGTAAAAAGCATTTCTGCAACTGATCAGAAAGGCGTTTAAAAGAAGGACAATAAAATATACTAAGAACGCTTTTCAGCCCAGCTTGGTCCAACGAAGAAGTGAAAAAGGAAATCTGGGGACGACTTTCGAGCGAAAAATCTCTCTAACAAAGAGAAACTAGAGTTAAACGATAACATTTATTAGTAAAATGGTTAATTTTATGTTCTTTTAAAATAACACTAACTTTAACAGATAAGTTTGTCTGTTTACTTTTTTCCTGGACAATCTAAGGAAAGTTTGAGGATTATCACATGTCCGGCGCTATTCTGGTTTTAAGAAGCTTATCTAGAAAATACAAGACCTTCAATACGTCTCTGTTTCTTTTCCGTGCAATACGTGCTTTTGTAAGATTCCCGCAAAACCACCGCGTGAAGAAGTCCCAATTTGAGTTCCATACGAATCTACCATTGACGTTTGTAATTGGCTGAGATGATTAATTTTCATCATAAAAAATGTTTTTGCCGTGAAAATCCGATGAAATAAACTACAAGGCCTTTATGAGATAGGTGCCCGAGCTAAGAGCGTTTATCTAGACGAAATATAGATGGGCGTTCCTAATGTAAGACCTAGCTTATTATCAGGTAAACATTAATAAAAACAATACTAGGCTTATAATGAACCTGGCGTTCATTCATAGGATATTTGATTCTTATTACTGGAAACTTTCCAGGGTCTCCACAGTGCTGCATTCAGATGCAACTGAAAGAACAAGTCACCTGCATTCCGTCTAAGACTGCAAGCTACCTAAAGCGTGCGGTTGGAAATGTGGTTAGCTGTAAATTGCCTGAAAGCCACATTAATCATACATGCAAGTCCTGTTCAGAAAAATAAGGCGAGAAAATTAAAATAATATGATATTTCTGACCAGAACTACTGTTCTAAAAAATTCGTCATTCTCAATAACATAATTTGTTTCCTTTCATTGACGTTTAACATTTTAAAATTTTAACTAAGTTGACGGAAATCGAGTAATGTATCATGGTTTGTGTGCGATACGGAAAAATAATACATCCACTCTGAAATATATGGTTTAGTGTCTCACTTTTTATATGAATTTATTTGTTTGTGTAAGAAACTTGCGCATGATGTGAATGTTCCCATAAACAACAATAGAGGTGACAGGTGAAGAGAGCTTGTCTTCTGCTACCCTGGTGTTCAAAATTACCGCACTGAATTATTCATAAGACTCCGCACTCGCGCATGCTAATTCACGAGCAAGCAGAGCGAATGGCGATGAATCGCATAGCTTCCGACGGCTGGAATAAGAGAAGCACAGCTGAAATTCTCATCGCTTAATTCATGGGGAGATAAATACCATACAGTCTACCGATCCATACTTTTCAGTACAGGATCCGGGACTCTTGAAGGTGAGCAGAATGATTTTATTATGCCAACTTTTTAAAGCAAACTGTGCTTTACTCGAGGGTTCGTGTCTGAGGATTTCGCGAATGTTTTAGCAGAAATATTCAGCGATTGATTGGAGAGCGCGGCGTGTTTTGAAAGGCAGCACTTAAATGACCTCCCTGTGTTGAATTAAGAAACTCAGCTCACCATAATGGGCAACTTACCATTTTTAAAGGCCTAAAAGGTCTCGAATGTTTACCAACTTTTTTCTTATAGCGTCTTTGTTGACAGATGTTGGAAACGTTATATTTTTTCCTCGAGAATCTCTTGATACGCCGACGTCGCTAGTAAAGTTTCAAAATGAGAGGATTAATCTTAATTTTATGACCTACATAACCTGGAATATAATCATTCTGTGAAATGACCAACGAGAGACGAAATTTAAAACCGCTAAGCTTGTAAGACCCAGTCCGTGCAGATTGCACTGGTCTGATATTCACCTGTGCTCCAACCATTTTGCGTGAATTCAAGTTTGATGATGGTGTATGTTTTTTTTCCAAATCCCCTCAGTGCCGAATAGTACCTATAACTGTATAATTGCCCAAATTTTAGAGAACTTTGGCGATGTGTTTTGGTAAGAAAACTTGAGCTTCATGTAGGTGGTTGTGTACATAGCGTGTTGTTTTCAGTCGACGAGGATACGATACAACTTGGTTAACAGTTTTGCACCTCCGAAAAATAGTTTTTTTTTCAGTTGACAGCAGAAAAATAAAATTTATTGCGTTGGAAAACATCGCTGACCGTGATATTTGATTGGTTAGTGGTTACCGATCGTCTCTTCGATTCGTACGGTGGTTTCGCGTGTGTGTTCTTGAAACTGATAGCGAAATTGACGTTGAAAAGATTTCGTTGGCGAATGATTCTGTCACCAAATCGTTAGATTTGATTTGTTTAGCCATGTTTCACACGAGACTACTCCGCATACGTAGTCATCTCTTGTGCAATGTGAATTTATGTTTAGTGATTACACTGAAAAGCTTTCAAGCGTACGTGAGTCTAGCGTTCAGCTGTCGAAGGAATCAGTTAGAGGTACATCTTGATCAAATGTTAATTTCTAGTTATTATCTTTCCACGGCTTTTTCTATCGATCCCGCGATAAAATATTTCGGATCTCTTGTTTTATTCCTTTGTGTAAACAAACATATTTTAAACGCGTCTTTTTGGACTCTTTAGATGTCAAAATACAGTTGATGTGTTATTTCATGTCGTTGAAGCGTATCCTTGGAGTGTTGATTTAGTTTTGAAAACAACTCCAGTTCATAAACACACATCAAAGGCGAAATTCATTTTCTATTATATGCTTTCGACATGCTGCCCCCGCTTCAAGTAAATAAAAAATCTGCATACACTTTAGAAGAGATAGATCATGATGCAAATCAAGGGGCACTTAAAGATGTTATTTTGCTGAAAAGTTTCTATCAGGGAAACTCTTAGAAAATTATTAATTTCGTCGCCTGTCGAGCGAATTTTGTCGTTTAACTTTTATTCGTGAGACGTCCTTTATATAGTAGCACCCCACTGATTAAGGGATTTTTCGAACTGTCTTCTACCCGTATTGGTTTCTCTCAGTCAATATGTATAATTTTTACCAAAGGAAAAACAAAAGACTGTTTGATCCCACTCTTCCTAACACCCGGGGCCCTCAAGCAAACAATACAGATCTCATATGTCAATTTTTTTTTAACCAGGGCTGCTATAAAATTGAATCTTTACATGAGCATTTTCAAACGATTTGCACTCAGAATCTCACTCCCGACAATTGTCTGGCATTCCTGGTAGACATTTCTATCACTAACATCGATTCTTGACAACATTTTAAAACTTGATTAAGCTATTTTAATAATTCTGTTGTGTAAAGTCCATGTTGATCAACAGTAAATTGGTAAGTTTCCAACATGCATGTACCCCATGACATGATAAAACAATACAAACAGTATTTCTTTTCTTTTTCTGCAATGTGCAAATTCATATTTCAGTTAAACATATTTTTTTTGATCAGTCACACTTTATTATTATAATTTATGATTCTTCAAACTGTTTCCCTACTCAGAAGACACTGTTTGCAGTTGACTTGTGCTTCTTAAATTGAAAACAGTGAGAACTTTCTTAAGTGGTCTGAAGAAGTGCTATGTATATGGATATACCTTGTATGATCACTACACAATTTACATAGCAAAATTTTTATTTCATATTGTTCTGTATTTTGTAAGGCAAAACTATTTTAATTAAGCAGATACCTCTGTTTCAAATTTGATGGAGGAAAGTCTTTTAGGAGTTCTCCTTTGACAGATTTTTTGCATGAAATGCAGTATTTGGAGTACTATCTGCAAAATAACACGCACAAACTGATCAAGAACAATACAGACAATTTACAAAAAGTTATCCATGACTTAAGTTAGCTTGATTAAACATGACTTGGCCAGTGAACTTGATTGCAGAAAAAAAAAAAGTCTGTTCTATTAGCCAAGATTCAACATTCTTGCTAAGCTGGGCTTGTCCTGTGATAAGATGATGTCTGTTAACATTTTTATCCAATGAGAAAGATTTCAATAAACTAGTAAGGTTCTTAGTGCTTGTAGAATTCCAAGATAAAATTATTACAGAAGACAACATGGTATTTTTTCACAGTTTTGTGCCTAAATTGTGAGGTCTCCATCGTGAACTGATATTTGTTATTTTTTTGCTATGAATAACCACTCCTTACATCACTCCCCAACAGGAGTTCAATCAGTAACTGGTTAATAAGATGTTATGAAATCACGACTCAACTATTTTGAAACTTGATTAGCTCTATAAAATATGTCCCCTAAAAGCACATACTCTGGTTGTTTTTGGAGATAATATTATTGAACAGTTTTTATTCTATATTTTATAGACCTAATTAAAAACTGCAGGCATGCAGGATTAAACAGTGCTCTGAAAAGTCTCTTTGTTTCTCTCTTAACTAGTTAAATGATGAAAAATAATGGAATCGAAGGATGATTTATAAAAGTGTGCAATAAATTTTTCAGTGTGGTATTAAACTCTGTCAATCTGCAAGCAGTTATCTTGCATAAAAGTGACCTATGAAGTCCTGGAGACCACATGCTGAGCTGCTTTCTGAAGATGACAAAACATTTCCACAACTCACCAGAATTCATGTGGCCTCTTCTGTAGGAATGGCAAGTATTTTTAAACATAACTACATAACTGTCACAGTTAAAATCTGGGTAATTTTTAACACTTTAAGGACAAAAATGATCTTATTTAGTAGCAGAACATTATGGAGAAGTTTTGCGATATAATTAGCTAAATATGATGTTGATATACTTTTAGTGGTCATCTCTTTTTTTTACTGTTAAATATATATAACTAAATGAAATATTTACAATACCTAATTTAAGATAAAGAATTGATACTTGTCAACCTTGAATACTAATGATCATATAATGGTGGTAAATACTGGAAAACTTAGTAATGATAAAACTATAAGTTGTTTGGCATTTTGATGTTACTTAAATTATTATCAGGGTAAAAATGACAGTTTTATTGCAGTGTGAATATAAATCAGTGGAACTAGTCAAGAGTAGTTGATATTTGCATGTGATCTCCATAAAATAGTTTGGTGTGGACAGAGTCAGTTTGGATGTTCAGAGTTGGTTTGAGATCTTGAATTATCATTTTATGGATAATTAGACAATATTAATAATAATGATGATGATGATGATGATGATAATGATGATGAAGAATGTAGTATTATTTTGGACTTTTGATAATATAGGTGCTGTATAGGTGTAGTTTGTAATTTAAGGAGGGTACTTGATAATATTTAAGTATCCTGGCTAATACTTGGTGGGAAACTGCTATTTTTTCCGACACTGAAATAAAGTATTTAATTACTATTGTTAATAATGTTGTGATGATTATGACCATGGTGACAATTACAATGATAATGAAATAATAGAAATGTTTTCTCGTGTATATATTTAGAAAGCTCAATTTGCTTTCTTGTCATACAACGTTATGACTAAAAATACAATTAAAACTGTAACAAATTATTTTCATGCCTTTAAAAGCTTCCAAAATGATAATGTCCCTGTGCTAATCTTGAAAGATCAAAATTAAGGTAGATTGAATATGAAGAAGAATTTTGGAAGCCAAGGTTTTCTTGTAATCTGCACAATTTTTGTACACAGAAGGCAAATGCACAATGACAATAAGCCATGGAATTCACTACAACTTTGAATGAATTTATGATCATGTGATAGGTTGTTGCTCTCAGTAAGTTTTCCTTTTTATTGACATTGATAAAATGTCATGATTTTGTTAATGAATTAATTCTATTGGAGGCTATAATTTCTATGAAGTTAGACATTTTGACTGCACATGGTGATTGAAAGGTTAATTAAAGACCATAATTTTGACTTCTTTAAATGTTCCAAAAAGCATTCAAGAATTGGTGTTAGATCCAAAAAAGAAATTGATTTAAATTGGATTTCTTTTTCATAGACTTATCTCTTATGCACAAGACTCACGAATCATACAAAAATTCTCAGCATGACCTAAAAGTAGATCCACATGTCTTTGATGTTGAATTCAAAACACTTATTAAATAAATCAGATAAAACTATTTGCAGCTTATAAAAAATCAGAATCAGATAAATACAACTTTGAAGTTGAAAGTCATGCAATTTTAATTATGCTTTTTAGAAAATCACAAGCCTATCAAATCTTCATCTGACATACTCTTCATTTTTTGATAAAATGGTCAAACACTTCTCTAGGCCATAGTGAACTGCACAAGATATTTATTCATAACAAATTTTATGTGCTCAAATAATTTTTGTCACTTGAAAACACGGGTGAACATTTTTAAATATTCCTTGCAGTCTTGTAATTCCTAGACTGATGTTTTTTATTATTTATGCAACAAATCAAATTGGATTTCACAAAGTGGTTTTTAGCAAGTTTCAATGTGCATTAATTGATTCAAGGAAGCTGAATAATAAATGTCTCAAAACAGAAAAAGGTAAGAATTTTCATGTGCTGAACAGTATTTCAGTGTTCAAAAAGAGAAAAACAGAGGTACAGTGATTTGATTTGTTTTTTATTTGCTGTCTTGAGTTTCTCAATCAGTTGTATTTGTTATTCAGGGATTATGGAAAGAGCGAATTATTTCTTCAAAACAAGCTACTGGCCTTTACATACATGTACTTGTCTGAATATATTTGCAGTGATGGCTGACTGAAACCAAGTGATCATGTCTTCCTCTAATGTGACCTTGTATACATTTCACATTGTCCAAGTTAGTTTTGAAGAATTTCAATTTTCACCTCCATTAACTCAGTAACATTCTGATGTACCTGTGGAAATCAGTGTTAATTTGAAATATTTTTCCTATTCCCAAGTATTTTATATGCATAAATATGTTTAAACATTTTTATAAATGTGCTGCATCTTTTAAATGGATATAAAACAAATCTCGTGTTTGTTTTTGATGGTGGATATAAATATGTACACGAAGAAGTATTTATATAGTTTTTCGCGCTTAACTCTGTTTTTTTATATATATATTTTGGATGGAAAATATTGACTGCTTAATATAATATCTTCTATGAAGAGCAGCCAATAAGAACATCTCTAAATTATTTTAATTTGTTTATCAGGAGCCCATTGTTAGATGTTGATAAATTCTGTGTTGTAGTTGGTACTAAGAAACATGATAACAATGTAGAATTGATGTCAAAGATGTGAAAGATAAACTATTTATTGGTGGTTCTCTACAACATCAGTACATTCAGTTGACAGGAATAGACAGGCCAACATTTCTGCTATTTTCTCATGCCTTATTTTCAAAAGAAAGCATAATAGCTAGAATAGAGAATTACTAAGCAAATCATGTGGGTTTAAGTTAAATGTTAACTCCAATACAGACATAAACCAACATGAAATTTTGACTGGGATTCAAAACAGTTACTTCTGGGAGACTTGTAATAATGTTCTCATGGAATCTTTGGAAATTTCATACAAATGTACTTTGAAACTGAATGTGAAATATTGAGTTAGAAGTGTATGGTGTGCTTTCTGGTTCCTGTGAGTTGATCAGAAATATTGAGAGTTTTAGATAAATTAGAATGTTTACTTAATGTTACAACCAGTTGATATGCTTTTGTTGCAGGAAATGACAGTAAATGATGGTGGATTTCTCAATGCCGTCAGGGATGGAAGCTGTACTCATGTGCTGAATCTGTTGCATGGAGGAGGGGTGGATTTGGAGCAGAGAGATGAGGTTAGAAATGTTGGAAATTAATAAGGAAACAAACTAACTAACAAACAAGGATACCAACAAAAACAAGGTCTTGAAAGTTGTTGCTGAGTATCTTTGTTGAGCCCTGGAAAATTAATTTGAGTCTTGGTAATTAATGGCAATCGGGAGAAATGACCAAAAATGCTTTTCTATTAGAATTGCAAAGCAAGAAATACTGTGCATTGAATGAATGATGATTTTTTCATTAGATTGAAACCAACCTTTTAGTGGTGCATTGTAGGTTGTGCAGCAAAAAAATGCTGGAAAAGACTGAGCCATTTTTTGTCTTTTAGTTAATACTTTATATTCTCTGTGTCAGAAAAATATGAAGTTTTACTTAACTTATGTAATGTTTAGATGAAAATGATGTTGTCCATTTTGAGTAATTTTAAATTAGTTGTATATGAAAATCAAATGAACCTATGAATTAATAGATTGATTATTTATGGGTAAAAGTCACTCCTAATAAGCAGTCTGTAACAAAAAGTTCTCATCATTCATTTTTTAATAGAATGGCCAAACTGCGTTGATTATTGCTGCTGAAAAAGGGAATGTTGAAATTGTCCATGAATTGTTAAAGAGGAATGTTCAAGTCAATATACAAGATGAGGTGAGGTCTGCCGTGGCCATTGCTAAACATAATTAGGTATTTCAATTTGAAGAGTTTAATGATTGCTTTAGAAGTGATTTCAGTTAGGACACTCTCTTAAACCCCTCTCTTTCTATTGAACTGCTTTATCTTATCTTCAATTTCTGGCACCTCCTTCTTCTTTGATAATCCCCCTTGTTATAAGGTGGTGTTGCGTAGGACAAAACTTGAATTTGAAAGCCTGTTCATTTTGGTTTGAAATGTCATAGTTTTTTTAACCAAAAAAATGAATACTATAATGTTTAGTATTTAATAAATGTGGGCAAGAACTCAGATGTTAAATAAAGACTTTCATTTTAGCTCCCAGTGAGTTTTAACTTTTTAACAAAAAACTTTGTAAATGATTATTATTTGACAATAGTAATAATAATAGTTATAATAATAATGTGAATGATAATCGGTATTTTAGTCAATAATTTTATTATTGATTCATCAATAAAAAGCATTAATGTTGGAAATTAACATGGTTCAAAAAATTCTGGAACTGAGTTTAGTTTCCTCATATCTTAGGATGGCTGGACAGCCCTTATTGCAGCTTGCAAAGAGGGGCATTACGAGGTTGTTAAAGAGCTCATGGAGAATGGAGCAAAAGTTCAGTTACCAGATTTAGTAAGTTCAGTATATCTGGATCATAACATTACGAGTGACCAAGATCAATGTGTTAAGTTCTGAGCAAGGGAGTCTGCTTTCTTAATTCTCACCTCTCTACCCAGAAGTATAAATTTGCAGCTATGGGAATTAAGCTCATGAACACCTACCGTATCTTTACACCTCTGTCACAATCCCATGACCAACAAAATATTCTCCACTATAGGGAGGTTGGTCTCCTTTGGTATGGGCTTCATACAAGGGACATGCAGACATTGTAAGGGAGCTGTTGGACTATGGTGCAGATCCTAACGAAAGAGGACAAGTAAGCCACCATTTTAGAATGTTTGTAAAACGCTTATGTGAGCAGTCAGCCAATCAGAGAGGAGTATTTTGGGCCCAAGGTGGAGAGGACCAATCCGCTTAAAAATTGTAAAAGAAGTTGGATACCTTCGTTGTCATACTTGCAGTTGATTGACCCATTCTGGTCACATGTGCAAAAGATTCTCTTCTCTGATTGGCTGGCAACCAAGATAATCGTACTTTGCTACATTTAAAGCTGTTGTGAAGGTTTTGTGTCTGGACAAATTTTTTTTGTAAACCTAAGTTGTGTGCAGCTTGGAGCCCAGGATCCCTTTATTTTTTTCACTGAAATTTACCCGAAAAGAGATTGAGGAAAATAACTTGGGTTTTGAATTTCGTCATCTCATTTGACATGCGCTAAATGAAGCAACGAATTTCAAAACCTAAAAGTATACGGTTCTGTTCCCAACATGGTTAAATATTTCATTCCTATTTTGCTGATATTTCAAACTTTTTTTTTAATTTGGCGACATTTGCAGTGGAAATATTAATTTATAATACGGCAATGCATGTTTATTTTCCTGTAATTCATCAGGAAATTATAGACACGACAATTATTTTAAAAATCCCGATAGTGTTGTCTATGAAACTTTGACTTATCACGGAATACTTTCAAGTCTACTTCGAGAAGACCAAATACTTTCGTGCTTTACCCCAGGGGTTTTGATAATGTTTGTCATAAGCGCCTGCCGATGATTTAATAGGCGGCTGTGTGACTATAAGGCGAAACCCAAACAGGAGACCAGCTCGCATGCTGAACAGACGGCGGTGAGAGGTCTTATCGGTGGTGGTAGACCGCTAGTAACGGCATTTATTGAAACCCATGGCTTAAACTTGCAGCACAAGTAGAGTTGCTATAAAAAACCTTCTCTTGAAACGACAAATTTCGTAATACTCTTGCGTTTTCGCGCTGCTGTTTGATTGGATGTCGTGCAGAAGTTAAACGAGCGCCATGACGAGAATTTTCCGAAAGCGACTGTAATTTCGATTCAGTGTTTTTTTCTATTTATCTTTCAAAAAATACGGCTCTTGCGTAAATTACTATTGATGAAACTAAGAATAAAAAAACTTAGGATTTTTTGGCAGAACGGAAAGCATTCCTTAAAGTTTTTTTGGCATTGTTGATTTTTCTATTTCGGCTTCCCCATGGCTTCCTTGCAGGAAGTTTTGATGACTTATGCATGCCGCGAACCGTCACAGGGAAAAAATCAGGAAGCAACAGAAGTACGTTTACCCGACGACATTGCGTAGTTAATTATTTATTTGTCTCGTGTAGAGCACTAGCTGTAATTAGTTTCCCGCGTAGAACAACTCAAGGTGGTAATTTCTTTTAGAGCTATATTTACTCGGGACAAACCATTGCATTTCTTTTTGTCTTAATTAAATGTGAATTGCTTTCAAGTTTGGAATCAAGTATTCTTTAATTTAGCTTTATCGTGTGCTTGATTTCTGTTCCCACAAAGTTGTATATACGTTCATTCAGTTGTTAAGTCAACTATTCTTTTGTCAGCAGCAAAAACCTTTGTTTTGTCTTGTCAATTATAAATAATGCTCGGTCTTTCGAAAAAGTTTGTAAAATGACAGTTTTCACTCACCAGGGAAGCCGAAACACTTGCCTGTTGTTTATGCATTCGTCAAGTTTGCTATGAAAGTCTCTCGACTTCAAATCAATGATAAAATCTTTTAACTCTCTGCTTCCTATGACTTACTCTTTGAAGGCAATTGAATTGATAACGTTCTTTAGAAAAAGTGTTGTCGCTTGAAGGAAAGTTTTGTCTACAGAAATAAATCCGGTAGTCTGGTCGCGTTAGGACATCTTCGTATCTTTGCGTTATTTAAGTGAAAGAGGATTAAATTTTTGTTTCAACTTTAAGCTGCTGTTTTTCGAGATTAATATTTTACCATCGCTGCTCTAATTGCATGCTAATTGAAAAAACTTCCATCGGCGATCTGCGTCAGTATTCATTTAATGCATTTCGGGTTTCTGTTATTTGGTTTTAGCAATTGTCTTTTAAATCGGCGCCACAGATCTGAGAGCTCAAATTCGACGGGAATATACTGACAGAGCATACAATAAGATTTCTTTTCTTTGTAATCAAAGAATTGAGAGGTGCAGGACTGTATTGATGTGAACAATTGTTACTTAAGATACTCTGACAGGTGCTCTTTGGCGTAGACGAATTTACTAGATTCTTCTCATCCGATCTGCGACAAAAAACCACGACAGAAACCGCGCATTTCAAGTTGCTCTCAAAACGAGCTCGGCGGACAGATTTGCTTAAACTCTGCTTTTTAAAAAATCCGGGTTATGTTTCTTCCTCAGGTCGCGCTCAATCGCAATCCATTTGGGTAGACAATATATACATTCGTTTGGTCATCATTCGCTGTGTCTTTAGATGTTGTTTAGTTTTGCATATATTTTAAAAGTCATTAACGATTCGTTCGGCAGGTGAATTGGGTTTAGTTCAGTAGGGATCGAACTGTGAGCAAATTGAGATCTATATTTTTTGTTATATCTCGTGCGGCTCGTTAAATCTAATTACACTCGGAAAATTTTGTTCGTGAGCTGGTCTCCCTTTCGGCACCATCAGAAGACAGCACTTAGGATGAATCCATCTAAACGTAAGTCGTTCTTACAAGCTATAAAATAAATCTTACGATATCTTTTAGGTGATAAGTTGGAGTGTATCTGACATCTCCAGGCATATAAGGGAATTAGCACACAACTGCGTTTGCCATTGTCAGAGATTTTTTAACGACATAGGCTTGGTTGACATAAACACAAGTTTTCATTAGCACTTTACATTATACCTCATCGTACAAGCTTCTAGTTCAAATTTTAATTATTGTAAGGAATCGATTTTTTTATAAGGAGCTGAGAAAGAAATGACTTCCTTCCAAGAAGTTCTTAATCCTGTAGTTGTATACAACCGCATGAATTATGTAAACCAATATCAGAACGAATTTATTTTTTGCCAGTGTGCTTGTAACCTTTTCATAGTAACGTTTTTCGATAATAATTCTTAGATTGACGCTTTCAATCATCGAGTAGACTGTTCATCCACACTAACGCTAAAAACATTTCCTGATTTATTTTTCAAGGTACGGCGTTTTGTCTCTCTTAAATCTTGTTTTCATTTCCAAAAGACCTCATGCATGCTCTCCGTTTTGTGGACATCGAAGAGTGCAATTTTTTTCTTCTCTTTCAATGTTTTTATTCTTAATTTACCTTATTGTATGTTCCGATGAAAGCGGCTTTGGTAATTTTGATCTCGTCTCATTAATTTGAGTGTGTTTATTTTATTTCATTTTTATTTTATTTTGTGCCTCGTTTATTGTTTTTAAATGAAACTGCAGAACTGCGCATTCTGTGTCCGCGGGAAAAAAAATAAGAGACAGCTTTGCAAAAGATGTATTTTTTTGAGATTGCTTCATTGACTCGTATTTTATGAAACGTGATGATTTTGGTGGAAATAGTTATAGCACCCGAATTGAGTATCCTTATTTTTTTGTCTGTTTTGCGTGAAGTAGGAGACGATCGGTGATATGTATACTATAGCTGATGGTATTCCTAGGCGTGAAATTATGTTTAATTTATGTGTGGTTTTGCTGTAATATGTGCCCCTTTTACTCTTAATTGGATCTTTCTATTCTCTTTCTTAAACTTGAGTTGAACACCGAAAATTATGGCATTTGAAACGATTTGGCAAATGTATGTACTTGTAAACGAAGGAGAAAGTTTCTTGTCGGCGTGTTTCAATTACAGTCGATGTTGTTATTAAACTCTGCGGAATACCCTACGTCTTCTGGCGTACACTTTACTATAAACAAAGACGGAAGTCTGTAAAAAAATTATTATCCTCAAAATATCTTAAAGCAAACTAATATGTTCTCAGATGGATGTCTGTAATTGGGTTAAGATTTATCCAATGACGTTGAATGGATCCACTTTCCTAAGCAGAGGTGATTATGCTGTGTTGCACATGCATTCAGACGGTTGTTGCTAAGCTTCTCTACTTTCTAGATCTCCGTGTGAGGATTTTCCCTCTCGTAAAAATCTCGAATAGAACGCTATTATCTTTGGTTCTGGAATTGGAACAACTGATACATTAGGAAGCACTTTTGCTGCAGATTTTCACGTTGTATCGATAAAAAAAAAATGATAACGACAGGAACTTCGAGGATTGTTGGATAAACTTAAAATGAACTATAAAAATAATCTAGAAAAAAATCTGTGGTAAGTTTATCAAAATTCGACGGTATGTGCAAATATGATGTACTGTCCCAACTTGAAGAACGTTTTCCATTGTGATGAAATATTGAAATATTTTTGCCCTCTCGAGATTGGATTAAAGTCGATGGTACATCTGATGATATTTCCTCTTGGACATGATCTGTTCGCTTTCACGAAACAGATATGTCCACCGAAAAATATTCGAGCATATTTCCGCGCCAAACGGAAGCTGATGTTTATTTATTTGAGAACAGTAGTCGAAGGTCATACTATTTGCAATTTATCTGTGGTGTGTTTCACAGATAATGTATTGCTGTTTTTCCTCTTTACGTCATTCAAATGGAAAATACTAGAGACCTAAGTAGGTCACAAAGGCGACAGTGAAGAGACCGTGGTGAATGAAAACATTTAGTGAGCAGAAAATAACTGCGGCGCACGTGCGTTATTAGGATTCTTGCAGTTGTTAGCTGTCATCTGTAAAACAATAAAGTAAAAGAACAAAATTTTGTCCGTTCTGAGGAGGGAAACACTGATAGCAAATAAGTTATTTTTTTAACCTAACGTTTCCTTCGTCTTTTATTTGGAAGTTAGGTGCCGTTAGAGAAGGTAAAAACATCGAGCTATTCGACAAAATTCTAAAAAAAATTTCAGTTAATATTTTAATAGACCCTCACGTTCCGTCCCAACATCTTTGTGGCTTCCACAAAACTATTTTTCTTTTTCTACTCACTGTAAGGGCCCAAGAGTTATTTCATAATTCGCTTGAATTAAATACACATTTACTTTTGTTTCTGTCATTTCCTCAGTTGACCCGGCACGGAATATATATATAGAACGGGTCATTTTCCTCAATCGGTTGTAAAATTTATGTGTGTCTTTTTGGCGATCTCTGATAATTCGCTGGCCAGCAACTATCTAATACAAAAAGTACAAATATCCTATAAATATAGAGGATAAATGAATTAAAGACAACAGCAATACTTTTGACAAGCAAAGTGAATGCTCCGCGGTGTTATAATATGCGTGTAAGTTGTCTTTGCACAGAACCTGATTGATGTGTGCGACTCGAATGAACGTTTTCTGCTATCGGTTGGTATTTCAAGACCATTGAAGATTTCAGCCTTTTTGTACATTAGTTTAGAAGGGAAATGCGATAATTTGCAACAAATCGACTCAGTCTGGCTAAACCGGGCAACTTCAAATGAAATTCGGCCAGAAATTAGTCTTAATACACTGCAGTTACAAATGTCGTCTTCACTAGTATTGGCAACAATCTTGACTTTCATATAATCTTGATACTTACCTCGTTTGAAGACATTTGATGTTGACTGTAGTCGATCCAAGAAAACATTTGTTTTGTGAGAGACAACACCTCGACTTATTTTGAGAAACATTAGCAAGGTCACGAATGTTCTTAAAATTCCTTTGGCGTTCTTTCCGGCAATGAGCGCTGTACTCAGTTCCAAAGATCGCCCGGGCGAGGCTGCTTCTAATTGGTCAACTGAGACTGCATTCGATCACGTGAAGGCCTAGCGTGACACATGTCTTGCTTTTTTTTTTCTCCTCAGCATGGTATGACAGCCCTTATATGGGCATCAGGACGGGGACACACTGAGGTTGTTGATCATTTACTGGAAGCTGGAGCCAATCCCGACGCTGCTGACAAGGTGCGTGACATGTTTGTGTAAATGACTCTCGCGTGTTAAACACGCGTGGATCTAAAGATTGATGCCTTGTCGTCGCATGTAAAATTGTGTCAAGGTATCCGTACTTTTCCTCAGGATATGTTCAGTTTAGGCCGGGTCCTCGGGTTTGAGCTTTTGTCATTGTATTACTGAAATTTTTCCTTAGATATCTCAAACTTAAGCTGGGTCCCCGGGTGTAAACAGAACTTGTGTCTAGTGTAATTTCCCCCCTGGAAAATAACGTAGATCGAGTCCCAGGTGTGGAACTGTGTTGGTGGATCACTGTAAGTTAACCGTAGATATTTCAAAAGCCCGGTCGCTGAAACCAGTTTTTTTGCTCCCCCGATAAATTTTCTGTCAGGAGGATAACATCCCATTTGCAAGCTTGTCCTGTTAATCAATGGCATTCCTCTGGCTAGAATAGTTTTCGTTTTTTCTTGTTTCAGTATGGGACCACCGCTCTTGTATGGAGCTGCAGAAAAGGACACTTAGGAACTTGTCGAAGTCTTGTAGCAAAAAACGCTAACGTCGATACCGCCAGTAGTGTAAGTAACTTAGTATTGCCATGGATACTGTTGCTATGCTGCACTTCATGTTGAACCAATCAGCTGCAAATGTGCATTTGCTTTACATTTTATTGCATTATGCATGCACCAAGTTCGCAATTTATATTCTGACGGTGTATTGCACTTAAATTGAGGCGTACTCTGCAGTGATTTTAGCTTTGAGGTCATAAGAAGAAACTTATCATGAGACAGTTTTATTTGGGTTATTTTAGAGAGGTTGGACCCCGTTAATAATGGCAGCAAAAGGTGGTTACACAGAGGTAGTGGATTGTCTCCTGGAAAAGGAACCACACATAAACGATACGGATCAGGTAACAGTAAGATTTTAAAGACAACACTGTCTATTCATTCCTTTTTGAGCATGCCCCAAAATTTTTTTCTGAAATAAATTGGATAACTTGGATTAGCAGTTAAAAGATATTTTAAGGTGATGATAGTTCTCTCACTGATTTGAAAACAGGAAGGAAATTCCGCGTTGAGTTGGTCAGCCAAGCATGGGCATGAAGAGATCGTCCAACGACTTTTGGCAAGAGGGGCGTACTTTAATTTACCAGATAAAGTAAGTGATCCTCTTTTGAATCATTTTAGGCAATCTTCAACTGGATGTCGAGAGACTGCATTGATTTTGCTTCACTTTGCTCCTTGCTTGATGCAGAAAACTCGCGCCATTCTCTCGACCAATCAGATACAGAAGTAAAACCAAGCGTGATTTGAATGCCCGCGTTTTCCCGCGCTTGAGGCTGTGTTCACGTGTTTACTTTGAGTTCTGATTGGTTCGTTATGTTGTACATCTTTTTTTCTGATTGGCTGTTGGGATTGCTATGGTTTTAGACACTAAGTCGAACCACTTTCTGTTGGAAACGATTTTAACCCAAGATATATAATTATATTCAGTGCGGAGAGGTTATTGTTTTCTGCGTAAATTTCTGCTCGTGTGCATGTACAGATTATTTTTCTCTTCTATGCAAGTGAAGGAAAAAACGAAAAGGAGAAGTGATTTTTATTGCTATAGATTTTTTTCTTTGGCCCAAATTAGAGATATATTTTATCGACCTTAAAAGGAGGCAATTATAAATAATTGTTGTCTATCGAATCACTATAAGTGTGTTCTCGATTGTCAATTGCTCGAGGCGTTTTTCGACCGGAAGAAACTAATTTTCCCATACGCCCCTAATTTTTGGGTTGAAAATTATATCGAATTATGGTCTAGAGCAGCTTTTTTTTAAAGTAGTTTGTACTCGCAGCCTATTAGAGAAGCTCTTTATTAAGTAAAGTAAAAAAAAAAGCGTAGGTGTTTTCGAGCTAGTGGTCAGAGTTGGCTTCGATTCAATTAGTAATTTCCTTTAGAGCCCATTTAAATGGGTTGCATGAAACGTGGTTTTTGCGTCACCATCTTGAAGTGGGCGTAATTTGTAAAATGTAATTGCCCGGAACTTTCAATTCACGGTTCATGTTTGTCTGTTACCGATTTTCTGTGTATGTTCTTACGGTTTCAAAGTACAGTGAACCGGATGAGCAAGGTTTATTCCACTTATTGGAAGGTTAAAGCTTTCGAACCGGGGACAGATGTTTGTAAGTGTAGACGACAGAGTTTTGTCTGATAATGATCTGAAATGATATTCATTGAGGTTGATAGATAACTCAGCCAAGTTCACCCTTGAAGCTTTTTGTTCGTGCGGTTTCTGTTGACAATTTAAGCTGTTTTATTGCGAGTTTTGGTTTTTAAAAGTGAATTCTGAGGTTTTGTCCTCGATCAATGGTAAGTTGCTTCAAAGAGTTTCAAGTTTCGAGCAAGCATCTTCGCTTGAGTCTGCAGTCCGCAGCGAGCGAAACGCCCGCCATTGAAAAAGAGGCACCACTTTGGCAAATTCAACAACGCTTTGGGTGTTTCAATGGAATGTAGGAACTGCTTTGGATTGAAATGTGAATAATTGTGGCAAATTGGATGATTTAAAATAGCTGCAGGATCACGTGAACTGTAAGCGATACGCTCTGAATCAATAACGTCTGTGACTTCAATGTTGTATGAGAAGTTTTAAACAGAAAGTTTTTGTTTTGCTTTCAGGAAGGCGAAACTGTTTTAATCTCTGCTGCAAGAGACGGCCATTTAGAGGTTGTGCGGACATTGTTAAGCAAATATGCAGATGTGGAGGCTGCAGACACCGTAAGTTTTTAAAAATGAACATTTTGAACGCGGCATTGGCTGCTTCAAGGCCCAGTTGCAACAATGGAGTCGTTTTGAATGAACTTTGCAGTTTCTGTTATGGTTTTCTGTAATATCAGCCTTGAGGAACAAAAGCAAACGAGCGGAATATGGCGCTTATTTACTAAAACATTTCATTTCCACCTCCTGGTGTTAGGAATAACATCATTGTCCCAATTCTATAGAATCTGTTTGCTTAATCAAATCGTTTTAAAGTCGTGTCGTGCTGATCACAGGGAGTGTTTTGTTGATGATAAATGCCGCTCACGTCTCGTTTGACTACAGTAGTCTTGCTGCGTATCGCAGATTTTTCATCAGCTAATTTGCTGGCGGCTGTTTCATGTCTCGTTCCTTCGAGTATCGTTTTCAGACGCGCAGGCTTTCAAAGGTCAGTCTCTGGTCATAACTTTCGAATGTACTACGTCATTATATCTCTTGGGGGACACATACACGACTTTTCAGAGTTCGCATCTCTTATTTACCTTATACACTGCTTGAATTTTATTCCAAATTGTGTTGAAATGTTACAGTAAGTGGGCGATATAAAAATTACAGCTCTACGTATCTGAGGCCGATGCAATTCGACCGGGTACGTACGCGAAGAGCTATGTGCTTGCATTGCCATATGTAGTTAATTTTTCCCATGTAACAAATGAATTAACTTTTGGTCTGGAGCAGAGCATATATCCAAGCTTGTAGCGTCATCTGTTATTTTATTGTCGAGTTTAGGGCTATTCTGAAGTTTTTTTTCTCTTTTTTTTTTTTTCCCAACCAATGTCTTAATTCCTAGACAGCATGGCGTCGCTGTAGAAGTACCAGATTATTTCAGATTATTTTAAAACAGTAATTAAGTGAATAAGTGGACTTATTTTGACGGACTAAACCAAATAGTTCTCTTATAATGCATGAAAATGTAAAATATTTTAATCGTAATAATTTCGTGACGTGAGTCACAGATGGTGACATTTTTACTTCAATAAACAGCTTTGATAACAAAACAATTGAACAGTAAGTTTTGAACTTTTTGGAATAATAAATACAGCATGGCTTTAAAATTTTAAGATAAATGGAAAAGCTGATAACTTGTACAATGGTTGAGTCATTAATATTGCTAAAATATTCATTGCTTTTGATGCAAAGAGTGACAGAAAGGAGGAATGGTTTGTTATTTCGATACCGGAAAAACTTCAAGAGATTTTGACTCTGGAAGGTTTGTTAAAAATAGTTTCGCATCCTAGTTTCGATTGCTTGTTTTTTTTTTAAAGAGCAAATCGATTTCGCCTTTGTGTGACTTCGTATCAAGACTTCTCATGATTTGAAGTAGTCCACAGCCGCTGTCTTTAATAGTCGCGTCTGACATCGCTTTGTCGAACTAGGTAATCTTTCAGAGATAGGTACATCTTTAAACAGAGCGGAACTATCCATATCGCGCCATCTTTGCGTTGCTACTCAAATGGGATTTTTTTTTGACAACGGGAGGCGAAGATTTTTAATTCAAACTGATAATCAGGCATTGTTTTGACAGCGTTTGAATGATAGTGGTCTGAAGAGTGAGATAATGTGATGGAATACAATAGTTCGCATGTTTGTCCAATGTGAAAGCATTTACGTTTGGAGTACGGATCTCTTATAACAGACGTAGTTTTGTAGATGAACTTCCTAAGAAAGCCTGGATGCAGAACTAAATCTCTTTAAGCACTCACGCGACCTTTTCTTGTCGAGCTCTTTGTTACATTGAGAAATGGTAAATGACAATGTTTTGTTGTCCGTGCTGTCCAGTGGACCTTTTAAGTAGAGCTTATTTTTAGATATCCATCAGTAAACGAAAGCTGTGGTTGAGTTGCATGTTTTTGTGTTCTTTCAATGGACGGTGTTTGTAAATAAAACGTGAATTATTTCTCTTGTCAGGAGAGCAAGACAGCTTTGTTTCATGCAGTTGAGAAAGGCCACGTCTTAATTGTGAAGGAGCTTCTAGATGCAGGAGCGAACACAGAAACTCAGAACAAGGTTTGTAATATGCTTCAATGCGTTTTCATAGGTGGAATTCATAATGGCGGACACCTTCTGTTTCACTCTTGTCTACTTGACTCGTCATATAGAAAACTTCTTTTCGAGTTAACATAAATTCATGTTTTTCTGTTGTTCTTTTCACGGGTGAAGAGGCTTAAAGCTGCCTTTTAAATTAAGTGTTGCCATTTTGCCTTCTCGCCATTGATACCGGGTAACAAGATAGATTTCAGAACAAACACACTTTCAAGCAGATTCTATTACCATACTCTGATCTTAAAGATTTTCTCGCGCTTTCGAAGATAAATAAAAAGAAAATATTGCAATGCATTTTGTTAGTGTTTTTTACCTTCTCTTCAACTGTGTTATTGCAGGACGGTGAAACGCCACTAATCAGAGCCACACAAAAGAAGCACACTGCAATCGTATCTCTTTTGCTTGAAAAAGGAGCCAGCGTCTCCGTAGCAGATAAGGTACGTGATGTGTTTGTCCTGTTCCCTGTTTCGAAAAACGCTACACGGAGAGGAGATCAGCATGTAATCACTCCTCTCAATTCCAACTCATTATCAAGAAAGCAGGTGATAAAATACAAAATTTTATCAAGTGAAGCATGTTTCTTCTATGCTACGCTGAAATCTGATCTGGTCCATATGGATTTACAAGGAAACGACGTAAGGAGTGAAATTCAATAATCAGATTTTGCGAAGAAGGGGAATAGCAGATTAGTGTAGTAATGTAATAGTACGTAAGGCTTATGTAAACAAACCCATTTTTAACCTCTAAGATCTTCACTTTAGCACGAATTAAAATACATGATGTTCTCTTGAAAAACAATCATTCGATGAAAGCTCGTCTCTCGCACGCCTCACTTGACCCCGTTTTGACTCGGGTTTGTTTATCTCAGCGAGGAGATACCCCAGTTCATATTGCCGTCAGAGGAAGATACCGACGCATTTGCGAACTCCTGTTAAGGAACCCAAAGGACGCTCGGCTTTTATATCGTCCCAATAAATCCGGAGAAACACCGTATAATATCGACAGACAGCACAAACATAGTCTGCTGACGCAAATCTTTGGCACTGGTAAGGTTTCTGTTGGGTTATTTGTCTAAAATTTTATCTAATCAAGTTGTGTATTTTGTAATCCGCGTAAATCTTCTCCATCTACCACCATTCTCGTTCATTTTTGGTTTATTTGTTCCATTTTGTTGTTCATCTTTCCTATCAAACCAATATTTTTTTGTTTTTCGTCGTGTTCAGGGTGATTCTGCGTTTCGCAACCCTCAACTACATATGTGGAATGTATCTGAAGGCTTTCATCTAGGAATCATATTGTGTTTTTCTCGAATTAATGTGGAGTATGTGTTTGGAGACATAGAAATTACCGAAGGTCTTTCAAATATTAGGTCTTCTCACGAGAGAGATTTTCAATTCGCAAATGAAGATTCATAGCAATTGAACTTGAATACAATTATTTCAACTTTACTCAATACCGAATATGCTCTACACAGTTCATTACAACCTCTTGAATGTTTACCAACTGTTCTAGTCAGTCTTTCTTTCGTTCGAGTCTTTGTTTGGAATTTGTAGTCTTGTGAAAAATTAATGACACGTTTTCAGAACTCAGGTTGACATTTAAGTGGTGAGAAAAATACAGCATTGCTGGTGTTAGTGGGACTTCGTTACCAATTTCCAAAGGGGAATTAACTAAATGTTGTTCCAAGATCTCTCTTTCAAAAGGGCTCGAGCATTATCTGAAAACTCTAGTAATGATCAGACTCGCTATAGAGTTCTCTGCAGCTCATTGGTGGAGCGTCAGAGCGCGGGGACCGAAGGTTTGGGGTTCGATTTATCACGGGAACTCGGATTTTTTCTCTGCTCCACGCTTGTGACAGGACAAATTACACTATTTGAAAATAACTCATTATGACGATGTGCTTATCATTTTTAAAAAATCATAGTTGACTCGTTTTGTTCAAAAGATAGTCTTAAGTATACTCTGTTTGCAGGTCTTTTTACTCCGGGTAAGAAATACAGTGAGGAAGTGATGGGTTATGAGGTCTACACCAGTGCTTTAGCGGACGTGTTGTGCGAGCCTTCGCTCACCATGCCGCTGACTGTTGGAATGTATGCGCGGTGGGGGAGCGGCAAATCTTTTGTTTTACGGAGGTTGCAAGGTAAAAATTAAACTCAATAGTTTTCTGATTTTAATAACTGAATGATATTTTTGTTTCTTTTCGTTTGGGTTCTTTCTTTCATCAAATATAGTCAGATTCTGTAAGGGAGAAAAGAACTCACTTATCTTTTTCGCGCTGCCAGCATTCGGTCTTACACCTCAGTTGGTAACAGCACTCAGCTAGTCTCTGGCACAGGCAAGAATTTTTTTCGATCAATGAAATATCTGAGCAACTGCCCACCTGCCCTTCCCTTAACTCAACATTAACCCTAACTTGTTATCAATTGAGTGCTGATTGCGGGTAAGTGCGTAGTTCCTCGGGTACTAACATCGATCTAAGTTTTTCAGCCTTCTTTTTCTGCAATTTCTAACGCCATGTCTCTGTTTCGTTTGTTTCAGATGAGATGCGTGAGTTTGCTCATCAAGATCTTCGTCCAATGTTTCACTTTTCTCGCTTCATATTTGTAATTCTTCTGGTGTTCTGCGTAGTGATTGGTGTTCTACTCGCGGCAACTACGAGTCTTGCCGCTGGCGTCGCCGTAGGAGTCGGTATTTTCGTGACATGTTATCTTCTGTTTTTGTGCGCGTATGTGGCAGATAGACGCTACAACCGCGGAGAACCGTCTTGCGGCATAGGCGGTTACGTAACCAAGGCGGTGGGTACCGTAAAATTGTTGAGCCAACTGGTATTTTGTATTCCTCCGTGTCCGAGTGCCACGAAACCGAACATGCCAGTTCGCTTCCTCTTCACAGACTTTAGTAAATTGACTTGCAGTGGAAGCGAAGCGGCTTCATTGGTCGGAATGATTGAAACGTTATGTGACGTTGTCGAGAAAGAGTTCGGATTTTTCGTGACGAGGTTATATAGAGTGTTTCGGTCCCAACCTTCCGATTATGATGAATCGACATTGACAGAGGCGCGCTGGAAACGCTGCTGTTGTTGTATACCAACGTTCACGATATTTCTTGCGATTCTAGCGCTTGGTATGATCGGCCTTGTGTTTTTCAGAGTGTACGGGACGAAGGGCAGTTCTGTTATAACAGGCATAGAAATCGCATCTGCTTCGATTGTGGGCGTGGCGGTTTTGATTCACCTGCCCACCCTGTGCTCAATCTTATACTCCTTGGTTTTCTCGCAGAAGAAGCGAATTTCTGTGGTAGCCACACAGCTGGGCTTGAAAGAGGAGGGATTCATCCACGCGCTGAAACAAGAGGTAGAGCTCTTAACAGATTTGGTAAATTGCGTAGATGGATTCACCAGGCATCAGACAAGAGTTGTGATAGTAATTGACGGACTTGACAACTCGGAGCAGTCGAAAGTGTTACAACTTCTGGACTCTGTAAACCTGCTTTTCACTGATCCTGAAGCGCCTTTCATTATATTAATGGCTTTGGATCCTCGAGTCATCATCCGGGCAATCGATCAAAGCTTTAGCAGTATTCTGCGCGAGTCTCATATCAGCGCGTCTGATTATTTAAAAAGCATAGTACAGCTTCCATTTTACCTTCCTGAACCCAAGTCTAATTACACCGGAGTGTTGTCGACAGGGGTTGTCACCCTACTAGATGAATTGAGAGGTGAGCTTCAGACTGATAATCCAGGTGCAGCGGAGCGCTCCAGCATGGCACGTTCCAGTGTGGCCGTGGACGATCTAGAGTGGGACGGAGAGATGTTGGAATTCAACGAGGGTGACAACTGTCTCCCTCAGGGGCATAGAGTATCACGGGATTTGCATAACTGTAACGGAGGGGTGCCGAGTCGGATCCATCCCGAACTAGAGCTGCATCACTCCATGCTCTATGAGCCAGAGTCTCATGAGGAAGAGCGCTGTTTGGATCATCAGAAGCTTTTGGACCACGAGTTGGAGCTCGAGGAGCGTCGCCGTATCTCAACTGACCTTGCGCAAGTGCTTGCTGACAACGAGACTGTAAATCCTCTCGGCGTGAAACGCCTCATGAATATCGTCTCTTTAACGTGTCGTCTGCTTCGTGCGCGCGGTATTGATTACTCATGGAAGCGTCTTGCAGCCTGGGTCAGTGTAGTTGATGGATGGCCGTATCGGACATCCTGGCTTGTTCTTCTAATCGAGGACAGCAACACCCGTTTGCAGGATAATGTACCGTTGAAGGATCTTTACGAGGCGACATTGTCCGCCATGCCAGTAATCAATGAAGTGGATTGCGCAGTGGACGGAGACCCTGTGTATTTTGAAACTTTCCTCGCCAGTCATCATCCGCTTCTGAGCACGTCTGATGTGAGGCGTTTCCTGCCGTGCACTGTGCATTTGGATCCGTCGTTACGTAGGCAGATGGTAGAGTGTTTGCATTCAGGAACCAGCGTAGCGGGCAACAAATCTGATACTGGTAGCGTTGGCAAGGGAAATCCACATTTGCAGGTGAGGGGTCGCTAGGTAAAAGGTTAACTTTGTTGTTAGCATAAGTGAATTGGAAATGTGGAAATTAAAATGAGGTACCTTGTGCCTTCTCTGAACTTTAATCTTGGTCCCAAATAACTCGACAGTAACCATGAAAACGTTGCGCGTGGTCTATAAACTGCGCGCCTATTTGAAGCGTAGGTCACACATCTCAGTATTGTTCTTCTTATTGTTCGTCATGTCCACTTAACATTTATTGAGGCCAAACTTTTAATTGCTTTGCTTTGTTCAACGTGCTCGATGAAGCTTGCATGTTTGCGAGCTGCTGAAACTTTAATTATCGAGTTTTGGAGACTATTCAGGATTTGTAGAATTTGAATTAAATCTTTGGTGAATCATGTTGCCACAAAATCATACTTTAACCCTCGTTACACTCAAACTGCTTATTTTTCTTCTCGCTTCCGCTGATCCATTGTTGCAGTAATGCGTTTCCATACCAAGGACTAAACCACTTTTTGGGTCGGTTAACTTTGATCGGAGGTGAGGGTGGAGTAGGTGAAATAAGCCTATTATTTTGTTTGGGATGAATGTTGCTCTAACAGGGCAAAATGTCTCGACAGTTTTGTGTAAAATGGTGGATACAGTGAATGGTTTGAACCTGGTGGTTTATTGAGAAGGATTGTTGTCGGTAGTGGTGACTACTAGTTATAACATTGTTGAATTGCTTTCTGCAGCAATGTCGAGCTGCACTCAAGCGTTTTATCCCCACTAAGCGCTGTGCAGCTAATACCCACAGCTCAATCAATGCGTACTGCAATGCCCAGTTATCAATAAATCATGAGTAAGAGTTGAATCAAAGAAACTCCTCTAACGAGCATGACTGTGTTTTTCAGGTCGGCTCCATAGGAAGATCTGACAAGCAGACAAGCTTAGCTACTTTAACTATCGAAGATGTTTGCAAACAGGTAGGAGGAGTGACTTGAGAATTTGTCTAACTTGATTGTAAAACGGGCGGTTTTCAATTCCACATACAATTCTTTTGAGGTTAGTTTGGAGAATATGGTATTAGATCAACTATTTATCCCCTGATTGAAATTTTTCTTTTTCCTCATCACATAAAATCGGAACAAGTTCCAGCTTGATGGGCGAGATGGCTTATTTGCATGCTGGCTTTGTCTTCACCTTTGCTTCTTTTTCGCTCTACAGCTCGCTGAAATGGAGGGTTTGGATCAAAAGCAGATATCAACTTATCAGACCGTCGTAACAAAAAATAACATCAACGGTAAAGTTCTGGCGTCGTGCGACTTATCTGAACTTAGCCACATCATGGCGATGACGTTCGGTGATTGGCAGCTGTTCCGCGCATGGATTCTAACAGCTAGAAATCCAAATCAAGAATGTACAACGTGGTTAGTAACACTGTAAATCTATGTCGACCTTTCGCAACTTTTTTTGTTCCGTGAACTTATTTTGATATTCATTGTACAATATTTATCTTTTGCACGCGCTGTTTGTTATTTTCTTAGCTTGAAATAAGTACCTAAAATCGAACGGTGTTCCTAAGTACCAGGGGAATGGATCGAGTTCGCACTGGAGAACGTTATATCGGGGTAGGGGACCGGAGTTCCGATGTTCGTTTCGTAGGATCTTCGATCTAATGGAGATCCAATTTTGTGGGGGGGGCAGGGAGGGTATGAGTATGGGAGGATATGTGTTCTGTGTTAGGGCTTGTTTCCTCGTGGTTTTACTCTGTTAAGCAACCAGAGGTGTGGGACTTGCGAATGGTGAGCGGATATTCCCGGTAAGCCTTGAAGCAGGACCACCGGTGGGTTTCATGCATGCTAAACCCACTACAGCATTATTTAACCAAGCTGGCTGGCTGACTGGCTGGCTGGCTGGCTCGTGCGCCTTTCCTAGTTAAAGTCTCGCTGCATCATAGCGACTCGTGCATGACGTGCGTTATCTCTCTCTCATGTCTCATCTTCATTTGTGAACATTACAGTCACCTTCATTTTATGTTCACTCAAGTGTCCCTAGTGTATTCATCTGAGCTCCTCCTCGTTCATTTCTTCCAGTCACTTGAGTAACAAATGCGTAAGTCCAGGAGAGATGAATTGCCAGCTGCTCAAGACATCCTCCTCAGGTTAGATAGTTAGCTGCATGCATGCTATTTTGGTGAAGTTTACATCACTGGAGCTTCTCCTGATTTCCGCAGCATTAAGCAACCGGAAGTATTGCTACACTCCATCCAGGCATGCTAGTTGTGGTTCATCATAGTTTACACCACTCTCCACCCCCACGCTGGTACTCATCTAGACTCCTGGGTGGGGAGAGGTACGGAGAGGGTTTAGAGTATTGCGTAAGATCACTAGACAATGACCTCAGCTAGAGGTCGAACCCAGACCTCTCAACCTAATACACCACTCTGAACAAAAACCCTTTTGCTATTGAACAGTGCTTTTTATTGCTTTGGTAAGATTTTTTTAGTTTTTTTTTTAAACTTTAAATAGCAGAATCATTCAAGAATACGCGATTTTATTCATGTTTAGTAATCTGTCTTCCAAGACTAATTTACACTCAATCATTTTTCGTGTGTTTTCTTGTTGAAATCTTCAGGGGCATGGGATCACGCCAATCCGCTGACTGCCCCTGGGAGGAGCAGCGCAGATTCAACGGAACAAGCTTCACTAGAGTTTCATTCATCGAAAGCCCCGGACATAGTACTACAGCCTCCGTCGGCGCCGGACAGCGAGGAGGAAGACAATAACGGGGAAACGGTTAACACGGCCGAAACAGAACTTGAAAAAGATGAAAACGTAACGAGAATAAATGAGTTATCCGATGGCGAGGAAGATGAAGGAGCAGGAAGCTCCAGTGCTGGCTTGAATCAGGTCAAAATTAAGGAAGACAGTGTTCTTATTTCGCTAGAGGACGATATTAACCTCCCACCCCAGCCTCATCTTCAAGCAGCGTTTAAGAACGATGATGATAATGACGACGAGCTCCCTGCTCCTCCCCTTAGCGGTACTGATTTGATTACGTTTAGTGAATCTGAAGACCAACGCGAACGTTCAGACGTTGAGAACGATATTTTTCTAGTTCAGCCGGGTGCTTCGAATGCACAAGGAAAAGCAATTAATACCCCACCAGTCATGGAATGCACGTGTGAGAATCTAAAGCTCATGGAGCCTGTCCAGGAGCGCAAATTGTCCAAGAATTCTCTGTTCTTTGACACGGAAGATAGCGTAGAGGTTGGTCGTCCTGCACCCGTTGTTATTACACTGAACAGAAACGGACCGGTTAAGGCTGCTGTGGCCGTCAAACGAAGCAATAGCTCATCAGGGAGTAGCACAGGTAGTTCCAGTTCAGGTCGATTACCAATTTCACAATCAGTTTCTACTGATGTCCACCACGAGAAATCTGCCCCCAGTTTTTCTCCCTCAATACGACAAAATTCTCTCCCGGAGCCTAGTCACGTAATACGACCCCACTCTGCCTCGGATGTTGTCACTATCGAACATCGGCCCAAATTTTTAAGAAAGAGCCCGCCGGTTGATTCGGACAGCGAACCTGAGTCGTTCGCGCAGGCGTCGGATCCGTTGATTCCCGAACCAACGAAAGAAGATAAAGACTTACAGCGCTGTAGTCGTGATTCAAACGACTTTCCACCACCTCCACCGTCCATCGAAGACAGCTCAAATTTCGACCAAGGGGACTGCCCTTGGGTGCCACTTATGAATCGATTTCAGGTCGAGGCTGGTGGTTCGTCTGTGTCAGAAAGCGAGCAACCGCTGTTACCGGATCGTCGTCCCAGGCCTAAATCGTCAACGGGTGTGATTGAAAATAAAGCGCCCAAATTTCGCACGTATACTCCGAAACCAAAACCAACTTACGTGGAGACGAAAAGTAACCAACATCAAAACCTGAAAAGCGAGACTTGTGTGTGATATGTGGAGTTTTACGGAATCTTTCGGACGACAGCTTTGATTTGACTTAAATTCAGGAAATTTACAGAAGGGTGCAAATGACAGGAGAGCAGTTTGAACAATATCATGGTTGTTATGGTTTACAGGAAGAACCGACCGTGATCTGAAAGCGTTGTATATATTCTAGCGTGTAGTGAGATCAAGTCTAAAATCCACAGACCTGAAGCTAAAATTCATTTTGAAAAGAAATTCGTTGCATCCTTTGACGAGGTCATTCTGTCTCTCAATATTGAAGGTGTGATAGGAATTATTCCATCAAAATGATCAGATTTTAAGAATCGAGTTAATTTGACATTTCTTTTGTTGAACAATTTATTTGAAATTGAAGTGATAAGAAGCGTGTTTGAGATTTAATCTTTTCAGTTTTTTAAAAATTACGCAAACTTTGAGCTCACGAAGCACCGAATCTTTTACAAGTAAATGATCAAGTTTCTAAGCAATGCTAGGTATCGTGGAATTTTGTTTCCATAGTTTCGATATTTGTTATTTTGATGAAAGAGCGCTTTTCGATTGAGTGTCGTAGAACCAAAAGCAAAGTAGTTCACAACGGCCAATCAGATAAAAGGAAAAAATCATAAAGAGCCAATGAGAACTCAAAGTAGAAACAAGCTAACCGCCTAAAGCGCGGGAAAACGCGTGTGACCAAGTCGTGATTGGTTTAAATTTTGCATCTCATTGGTTGAGAGAGTGGCGCAAGTTTTCTGGACCAATTACAGAGCAAAGTAAAGCAAAGACAAAGCAAACCCGGATTTCTGTTGACTCTCAATTGGAAATTGCTCCAGCAAAGACAATTCGTTCGTTAGATTTCTGGTATGCCGAAAGCGTTATGTTTAGCTTAAAGTTCAATGTTTGAACCTGATTTTTATGTACGTTTTTTAATCTCAGTTTTACTATTATATATTTGTGACTGCTGCAAAGGTGAAACCAATGACGTCAGCATATGTAATATTCTTAGTGAACCAATCATAAAACAGAAATATCTTAGCCTAGAAAAACACGGGAAAATAATTGGCGTTAACCAAGGAAAGTGCCGTTTTTCCCCCATCCGATTGGCCAGGGACTCAAGTATTAAATCGATTTCAAACTCAATCAAAGTAAGAGCCTAAGCGAGTGATTCTTTTTCGAATTTGCTAGCTTGTTGATATAACCTTGAAGTGACTTCCTCAAGAAATTATTTCTATGGAGTTGCACAACACTCCATCGCAATTGCAGTCTATTTATTTACAGATATAAGTTGTAAGTTTACAAGCTCGAGAATGAGTTGAGAGAACGAGAAATTATCAATGAAAAACGATCAAACTGTGATGTGTGTGTGGTGTCAATATTTGTGGGCTTGGAAGCAAGGTCTTCTGCAGGAGAGGGGAGAGGTTCAAAACAGTCGTTTTCCCAGGATACTCTTGTACGAATTAGAAGTCAACGCCCTTAATCCTTGGACCAAAATCAAACCAATTTCGTCTGTGAAGCCTTAGTTAGTAAAATGATTGATGTTGATACAAACAAGATTCATATCCACAGGAAAGACTTAATGCTTCAAAAGTGAGCAGTATTGTAATCCCGAAAGGACCCACTGACTTCCTTTTCATCCATGCTTCGACAAAATACTGGTGATATTATCAAATTTATAGATTAAACCAAAACGAACTAGGAGAAGATGGAACAAAACTAAGATATCCTTTAATAAGAAAGTACTAGTAAGAGATCAAATGGTACAAAGCCTTGAAATGTTGTTTTAAAATAGATTTATTTGATTTTTTTTGGTGATTACCTTTGTACAACTACCACTACTACAACATAATGAACCCTCGCAATTAAGTGAATACCAAGAACTGCAAGTTAACGAGCCATAACTGCGACCAAACTTTCCAGTTCAATCGAAGACCAGGACATTGCGTAACAAGGTTCTTTGCTCACGCATCACGAGGCTATGTTCACGCTGGTCTTCGATCCACTAAGAGGTGCACACAGTCTAAAGAAGCTACAAATTACGTCACTAAATAAGTTAGCAGTCCCTTAAAATTTTCCTCTAAGTGTTGGGCGGTAAAACGCGATAAATAACCTAATTCAAATTACTCAAGTTTGTCACACAATAAGCTGTTGTCGCAATACAATCGGAAGAAAAATACTCTTGGGAAGTTCTCATAGAGTGGCCGAAAGTCTCCAAACTGATCAACCGATCAGGAAAGCGCACGAGCGGAGAAGTGCCCAAAACTCGGGCCAACAATAATTTCGCCCAAAAGAGGAAGTCTCTTCCAATTGTAAATTTAAATTTTACAATTTCCAAAATTATACTAATCTCTGCTCTTGCCCAAACCAACAAATCGACCAAATTTCTGTCCTCAAATGCGAAACAACTTTCAATTTCATAATGCTACAAACTACTGGAATTACACCTTTGAAAATGCAGACATGAGCTCATGCTACAAGAATGCTTGTGAAGGTGTAACTCGTTTTAAAATCAACATAAATTTAATTTACCTTGTCGCAAAAAGAAATCTTAACAATCATTGTAAACTGCAAGGTAATTTCAATTATAAACTGCCGGTGACCAAAGCTTCTATATTTTGTTCAACTCCAACTTTTAACTGAAGAGATATTGGGCGATTATAATAACTTAGAGATCTCTATGTACAGCTAAATCATACCGCTATATTGTTTCGGTGGGTAGACCTTGCAAGATAATTTAGAAGACAGTTAAAAAGTTTGAAGAAAAAGAACTTGATTATCAACTCGATTCACTTACAAAAAAATATCCTAATTGCAACAAGCTAACCGCGTTTCAAACGCACCCCTTACGTCATTCCCTTTTTTCCTGTCACCCTTGTAACGTCACGCAAGCGACTTAACGCCACCAGAACGTTCCAAGACACGCAAATTCGAACCACGACACGCAACCAAATTTGATAATACCAAAGTAAAGATAATTCCTTCGCAAGGTACGACTAAGGTACGTTTTGAAGCAATCTAACTTCAGATTATTTCTGTTTTTCACATGAAAAAAATCACATAGCAAACCTCAATAAATTGATCAATTCTCTAAAGCAGTGATTCCGAGTTTCGCGATAATTACAGACATGTTCACCTGATAGGTTCCGTTTAATACTTAAGGCCAGCTTATTCGAATTCATATAATCTTCTGTAAAAGAAATTTTTCAAAGGTCCGCAACATGTCATTCAATTCTTGGATCGAAGTTATAGATTAACTTCTCGCTTTTTCCACTTCACTTACCACCTCACCCGTCTAACAAACCGAACACAATCCTAGCTCTGTCAAATCAACAGTGCAAACCACTATGTCAAACCTAAGGCTTTGAAGTCGTCTACAACTGACAGATCCCTTCGAACAACACAGCTACCTTAACAACTCCTGTGCCCTGAAGTTTTTCCTTGCAAAAGAAATATTTCCAGTCTTTCATTATCTGCAAGTACCCTATCCCAAACTTAGTCTAACGATGAAAAAGATAGCCAAGGCCTAGAAGTGAGAACTAGTGAAGAGATTACAAAGCTTTGCCCCAATTGAAGCATTTGATACTCAAAGGTGGTTTCTTTTGCGCAATTTTCACACTATGTATAATTCAATAATTTTTCTCTATGTTCAACCAAAATAATAACAACACCGACAGTTCAACTCACCTTGACAATGATAAAAATAATTTAATAGTTTTCTAGCGTTTGAGGGAATCCCTCAGCTGCTCTAGTGGGATCGTCATAACAGTGCTCGAAGAATATATTTTCTTTGGATAATCAGGTCTCCATCTCCTAACCTGACCAAGTTGAGAGTGAATGAAGAATGATCACCATGGGAACGAAGGAGTGCATGAACTTAGAAGGTAATTTAAAATGAAGTTCAATTTTACTCTTGTTAAATAACAGCTTCGTCTCTGAGCCAGGATGACCGAAGTACTCCGAATATTGACTCCACGGAGTATATTCAATTTGTGCAGGTATCTGTTGAATGATTGACATGGACAAAAACAACCTTCCTAACCAAGAAGGTTTTTGTTCTTGCTCTGGTATCTTAATGTGTTTTTTTATTCAGTTGATCATTATTCCTCTATGGTATCCTTGGCTGAGTCCACAACATGCCACGACAATAATGCACTGCTACTAAAGTTCTCAAACGCCATTTCTTGAAATCTGGAATACATGCCACCTTCTTCACTTCTCAAGTAGCAGTTGTCTTGATACTCATTTGTGTTCAGGAAGTGCCTTCTCACCAATCACAACCAGAAGTGTGACAGTTAACGGTCCACTAGTAATATTTCCATGTACTTTTTTTTCAGTGTTTTCATCTTTTAACTTTTTTTTTTTATGGTATTAAATTGGAATGAAGTCAATTGCTTTACTCAAGTCTTCATGGTTTGTTTCTCCTCCCTAGGAGGCGGCCACTTTATCAGTGGCTACAGATCCTTGTTGAGAACTCTCCCGTTTGCTAACATTCGTTCTTTCCCCGGAAGATCCCGAGCCGGAAGATGATTTTCCAGAAGTAGCTTTACCAGACGGGGATTTACCGGAAGTGGCTTTAACTAGACCTGCTTTAGCACCAGCAGATTCTGAAGTTACATTTTCAGAAGCATGTTTACTCGCTGCAGCTGTCTTCTTATCTTTTTCATCAGATGAGCTCTGCTTTTCAACTTTGCGTTCTGCACTCTTCCTTCTCGAATCACTACTCTCAGTGCTTTTCTGACCCTTCTTGTCCTCTTTACCAGTCTTTTGTTCTTCCTTTCCACTTTTTTCTTCCTCTATAGTTGTTTTCTGCTCTTCCCTGCTACTGGTGGGAGGATGGTCATATTTGTCACCGTGTGAATTATGCCGTGACCGTGGTTTGTTGCTGTGCGGATCAACTGGGAACTGATTCATAGGCTGAGGGAAAGAGAAAGAAAACAAGATCAATTCTCTCCAAATAACAATACTTGCATACACAACCTCGTTAACCTTTTCACTCCCATGGGTGACCAAGATAGAATTAAACTTAAAAATATCAGTACAATATTAAGCAGCCAAGTGAGGAGAATTAAGGAAAACATTAATTAGGGGATTAGTAGTGAATCCAATACCTAATTCTCTGTGGTAACATCATAAGACTTATACAGCAGACAGCAAAGAGAATTAGCCCATAAGCTGTTTAATTTTTTATAACAATACGTACAACGGGTGTATAGGCAGTACATTTTACTGATGACCCCTATAAAGAATTGAAATGCAACTGGACTTAATTAATGACTATACCCTACTACCTGTAAAGTTCATAGTACAATACTGCAATACATGTATAGTACAGAGAAAGACTGACCTCTGTGGGGAAGTATCAAGTTTCCTGGATTTGTTTCAATTGTAAGAATGGGTATTCACTAAGACAAGTGCTTAAGGGACAGACTGACAAGCTCTAAAAACTTTTTCTAAGATGTATCATTCCTTACATCATTCCTGAAGTCATCTATTGTCTTGTACTTATCCAGGCGTTTTTGCAGATCTGGGTCAATCTCAAATCTTGCTTTGCCCTGTAAATAAGAGCAAATATATCAGTGGCAGCATAACCATAAACTTAACTTCTTACAACACTTTTTTCCATCATCAAGGATCAGGCAACAAAAGACTTCCTTTCTTGACCTGTTTCAGTGACTTTCAGACAAGTCTAAACAACTCCGGCAAATTACAGAAATATTCACTTAGAGTTGACAAACATAAAAAAACATAAAAAAGACTCTTCAAACTCACTTTGTAATATTTAAGGAATGCCCAAAACTTCTCTAAACCATAAAGGTTTCCTGAAAGTAAATTAAAAATAAATATGTTATTTGACTTTACCATAGTGCAAGTTTAAGAAGATCACTGTAAAATATGGGAAGACGTTATTTAAGCTGTGGACATGATTTCACAACAGAATGCTTCACTACTGAGCAACAGGAGATAGCATAGCAAGCCAAGCCATTGTATTTAGGAGTCAAAATTTCTCCTCATAACATATTTGCGATAAAACGGAGAAGAATTTCTTAATTCAATGTTTCAACTCAAATCTCATCATCTTTCTTATCATTTTAAAACACTATAAAACACCTGCCAAGTCACCAACTGAAAATTGCATACCTTGGTCATGATCTCTTAACGTTTCTGTCTGGAAATCTTTGAACAAGTCAGCTTTGAACTTCTTTTCAAGGCCATAGCTAAAGAATCTGAAGAGGCACTCCAGGCCATACCTAGAAGGAGATGTATTGAGATAAATAATTCAGAACATTTGTGTTTCACAGAACAAGCCAACCAAGTGTCACAAAAGTTAAGCACAAATAGCAATGTAAATGTAGTTAGATTGTGCAGTAAACTGTCCTGGTAAGAGTACACACAATTCTGAGGAGGACTATCATTGCTTGTAATTACTGATGTTTTGATCATAGGAGTGCTATGATGATGATTTTCACTAAGGTTGTTGAAATACCAGTCACTACAACCAACAACACTCATTCTTGGTACTACTCTCACCAGGGATGCATTTGCTGAAAGTTCCACTAACTTAACAGCCCATAGCCATATCTTAAAATCAAATTTATATAGAACAGATAAGCCAGTTCTGGAACCCCATTGTATAATTTTCAAAAGTTTTGAAAACAGCTTTACAGGCCAGATAAGCAACAAGGACCTTCTAGAAATGTGTCCATAGACAGTTAAGATTACATGATCAAATGTTATCATCAGTTTTGAACCATAAATGATAACAAGTTTGTGGGTTTGAAGCTTTGCGATTGATTAATACAACATTACTGGGAAAAAACTCTGAATCAACTTCCTTAATTTTTTTAATTTCCAAGTTAACAAAAGAGAAAGTCACAAGGTCACTGGATAAGAACATTTCCATTAAGGAGCATTAGAAATTTCCCTTGCATACTGTTGATTAATGTTGCTGTCATTAAGATATAAACACACCAAACAAAAAAAAAAGAGGAAAACAAAGCTGCGATTCTGAAAATAAATTAAACAAAGTTTCTACATCATACCTATAACCAGCTGCAGCATCCTCTACAGCCAGCATTTTGAACTCTTCGTACATTCTCCTGGAAAAGTCAAAATGCATTCCATACATCAATTTTCATCTACTGATGTAAAGACAAGTGATGCAAGAGAATCACAAGCTGTCCAAATCCATGCTCTCACCTATTAAAATGTGATCTCAGGAAAAATGACCAGAATCTAAACAAGGTGTTCATTTCTTGAGACTGACCAATTCCAAGCTTCTTCCTCTCTGTAAGAAAGAACAAAGGTAAGAAGTCAGCATGGTATCATAGTGGTATTAAATATTCACCATTTTTAAAAGAGTGACAAACCTTTCAGACACTTGTTGTAATATTTATGGTACCGTTGTTGAGTAAACCCATTATCTTGGAGAAGTTCATGTGAAGGGTGCTGAAAACGTGGTATTGGCTGCGGCACTGACCCATAACTTCCAACCACAGGAGTCATACCCTCAGAGACACTGAGGCTTGGACTGAAACAAATTAGACAAACAAACATTAGCTCACTTAGAGAGAATTTAAAAGATAATGATATTAAATCCACACATCTTGTAGCTGTAAAACTAGGTGTACAGCACATGCTCTATTTTTACTAGAAGTCTATTCCACTTTGTCTGACTATGTTGCCTTGCAACACAAAAAAGGGACTATAAGCAGAACATGACCACAAAGGTAACAAGGACATGGTAATACAATAGATTTAGCCAGCAGAACTATAGCTCAACAGGTGTGATTTGTTGTTCAAAACTTATGCATTTCCTAACCACCCTCCTTGATAAAAAATTTTGAAATCATCAAAACTCTGCCTACAAATCAACCCAAAAAAGACAAATTCCTGCTGCAGGTCAATTATCACTGTGGAGTGCGAGATAAGAAGCTTTACAGACCTTCTAGGTGGCGGATAATCCCGGCTTCCCATAACCCAACCAACATGCTGTTCAACAGGTGGGTTCTGACTGTATTTTGTCTTTCTTTTCTTTGGACCCTGATAACCAAGTTGCAAAAGAATATTAAAAATATGTTAAAATCATCCTGCTACTTTTATTAGAAAAAGGTAAAGACCAAACCTTAAAATACAATTTACAAATTCGATACTAGTCTAAGGCTAAAAAATGCAAATTTTAAATTTGGCTTTGTGCTTCTGTTCTCAGTAAACTCTGTATAAACATGCACAAGTTAAGTCCCTCTATAGTTTTTTTTTTCCTTTTTTTTTTTTTTAAAATCAGTTTCAAATTTTCTTTTGAAACAAAATACTCTTGATCTGTATCAAAACCTGATGGAAAACATCTGTAATTTTTATATAGCACAGAAATCCACTGTTATAACAGAAAATCAAAATCAGCTTTTGATTCCACTCACCTGGTCACTAAGATTCTCCTTGCTGAATGCAGGGAAAAACCTTGGAGCTACTTTGACATCCTTCCTCTTGGGAGTACGGGATCCGTGCCGATTTTCTTGGGTAGGAGACTCGGGTACAGTGGTTGGAAGAGACCTAGACACAGGTTCAGAGGGGGCAGTGTTTGCTCTTGGACGGAACACTTCAGCTGAAGGTGATAATGTAGCATGAGGAACTGTTGTGACAGGAGGGCTGGGTGGAGGGAACTCTGCCTCAGTGAATGAACGAGCTCTTTGAGGTTCCAGGGCATCACGCTGTGTGTTAAATTTGTCCTGACTGACTAGTTCTACGCGTTTCATTGATGAAGAAAGAACCATCTGTGGACAGCAAGAGGGGCAAAAACTTCAATAATGTGCCATTCAAGTCAACTTAACTGATGCACAATTCAACAACTGAGGAAGTTGGGATCATCCAGACAGAATTTTTTTGTCTACAACAAAACAAACATGTTACCTTTCTATTTAGGTAACTGTCATCACTATCATCCCAAAGATCCTGCAAGCAAATTCACAAATATTTAAACATTTCAGAAAATTAAAAAGTGCTCCTCAAATATCATGAAAACTATCAACTCCTCCAGAGCTAAATTTTACTCCATCTCAAATAACAAGCTGGAATTTAGTTCAGCCCTCCACTATGAACTGTAAAAATGCACCATACCTGCTCATAGTAATAAAGACCATCATTAATTGCTTTAGAGAGCTCCTGCGTCATTTTTACTCTGGTGACATAGTTTCCTGTCCTGTCATGTTTCTTAATAGGAGGTGGGGTCTGCGTCACAATCATTATTTTGTGTATGTCTTGATCGTCAATTTCGTCATCTGAATCATCATCCCTAATAAAAAAAATAAATAGTTCCTTTATTATAACCCTTAAACTCCAAGAAGTCACTGACAAGCAACTTCTCCCTATAATATCCATACATTACTCAGCAAACAGGTGATGAGAGTACTATATCAGGTGTAAGTTGCTATCTTGATTAAGATGCAACTCTAGATCTTAAAAATTAACTTAAAATAAAATGTGTAGCCACTAGAGGGGTGAATTAACACTCAGATCTTTGGAGTTGGGCTATAGCTAGCATGTAATTTCATCTTGTTCTCTCTTCACCAGGATCTTGCTAAAAAAAGGCCACAAAATCTTTCTATAAGATAAATTTACGAAGTTGAGGTTTGCTACCCTCTCATTTTTTAGCTCAGTCAGCAGCCAAGTTTTACAAAGTATCAAGTACATGGTTACCAACCAGACACAAACAATGCCCTTCCAGAGATTACTTACCAATCAGAGGAGCATATTGTTGGCTGTTTGCCTTGGTGTTCTAGTTCTTCATCAAACTGAAAGTCCAGCTCTTCTTGGTCATTGGTAAAACTGCTCACCTATGGGAATGAAATCCAAATTAATAAGTAGGACATCCACAAAGCTGCAGTTTCTTTCCCAGGAATATGTCTCCTTGAGATAGTTATTGCACTAAGAACCTGTGTGCATGATACGAACCGAAGACTTACAAATAACACACAAAATTTGATGCTTCTTTACATTTTATTTAAATTAAAGTTATTTACAAATTGCCATCTTGTTGACACAATCATCAGTTCTTTATCCACTTTAAACTGTATTTGGGAAATTTACACCTTGACTGATTCAAACAACAATTGAATGTTAATGTTTCACACCCCACTAACCTTAGTATCCACTGACTTTGTTGAAGACGGTTTGCGTCTTTTTACCTCTGTCCAAGCTTCAGGATCACGCTTGTTGGTTTCTACAACTAAAATAAACAAATTTCCGAGCTTCAATAAAAAAAACTACCTGCAAATTCTTAAATAGCAACATTCGTGATAGGAACTTTTTTGGAGAAGAAATCTCCATCTACATAATGCACTTGAGCAATGATAAGTAGCACAATCACCATACCCACTTCTGTAACATGTATGGGAAATGTGAAAATTGCTAGTTTGGGACAAAATCACTTCTTTAGGTCTGTTTTAAACTCACATTTACTATTACAACTGATTTATTTCAAACTATTTTATTTTTGTCACATTTGATTCAAATGTGTATTTACCCATAATTCCTTGTGGGTGTGGTCTTTTTCACAACTAATCAATTTTTAGTTCACTGACACAGTAAAAAGTAGAAATAATAACATTTTGTATTACATGGAGGCTAGTATCTTCTCAGTGAGATCAACTGGCACTCTAAAAACTGACTTTCCGCCTCTTTTTACAACTTGAAGATCACATCACCGTTTTCCTCTTTGAAATTCAGCTCTCTTTTTGCGATTCTTTTCAATATATTTTAGATTCCTTAGCCTAATCTTTTCCTGCTTTTTCCTCCTCCACTCTTTGA